ATTCAAATGCAGATACTTTAGAAAGAATGTTTGAAGTAGTAAAGAAAGCTTTGCCTAAATGGGGATTACAAATTGCTCCTAAAAAATACAAAGAGGAGATTCTATCAATTACTTAGGTTATATAATAGGTTTACAGAAATTAGAACACACTGAAAAAGCAAATTAGGAGAGACCAATTGCAAACTCTTAATGACTTTCAAAGATTGTTAGGAGATATTTCCAATCTACGATCCACTGTTGGGATAACACCTGATCTAGTAATTCATTCAAACAAAACCTTAGACTTAACCTTAGACAAAACCAAAGACTTAAACAGTCTCAGGGAATTAACAGATGAAGCTGAGAAAGAATTAATTTTGGTTGAAGAGAAATTACAGAAGGCACATGTAGATTGGGTGAATCCAAATATTAACTGCATTCTAGTCATATTGCCCTCTAGAACTTACCCTACAGGAATTTTAATGCAGAGGGAAGATATTATCTTAGAATGGATCTTTTTTAATCACATAAACCGAGTAAAAAATTAAAAACTTATATGGAAAGGGTCTCTGAATTAACTAGAAAAGGAAAATTGAGACTTCCTCAACTAAAAGGAATAGACCCATCAGAGACTAGAATGCCTTTTACTACTGATGAAATTAAAATATTATGGAAAGACAATGAACCCTGGCAAAGAGCTAGCACTATTTTTTTAAAGGAGAGATTAATAGCAATTATCCCCAAAAACAATAGAATTAACCTTATAAAGAGAACTACTTGGATTCTTCCCCACACTGTACATGACACATCAATAACTGGAGCCCACACATTCTATACTGATGCAAAAAAAAAAAATCAGTAAAGGCAGGTTACAAATCTGAAGACTTAAGTAAGGCGGAACAAAGCCCTTATAATTCTGTTCAAAAGGCAGAATTATATGCTATTCTCATGGTACAAAGGGATTTTAAAGAACCTTTCAATATGGTTACCGATATTGAAGAGTTGTCTTATATATTGAAACTGTTGAATTTATACCACATAATACAGAATTGACTTCATTATTCATTCAGGTTCAAGATATAATCAGGAATAGGCTTTGACCCATACACATAACACACATCCAATACCATATGGGTCTGCCAAGTCCTCTAGTACAAGGTAATGCAGAAATCGATCGATTATTGATTGGAAGTGTGCTGAAGGCTTCAGAATTTCATAAGAAACATTATGCCAATAGCAAAGGTTTAAAGAAGAGTTTTCTATTACACAGCAAAAAGCTAAGGAGATTATAATGAGATGTTCTACTTGCTCTTTCTATAACCAAATACCATTATCTGCAGGGAGTAACCCAAAGGGATGAAATCTGGCAGATGGATATGTTTTATTTTGCAGATTTTGGAAAATTAAAATATGTATACCACACCATTAATACTTATTCAGGTTTTCAATGGGCAACTAACTATTTTGAGCTCAGAAAAGGTTGATTCAGTAATCACACGTTTATTAGAAGTTATGACCATCATGGGTATACCTGCACAAATAGACAGATAATGGTTCAGCATGTATTTCTAAGAAAATGAAACAGTTTTTTGCTTACTATAATATAAAGCATATTACAGGTATACCAAACAATCCTACAGGCCAGGCAGTTATAGAAAGATCAAATCGAACTATAAAGGATATGTTAAACAAACTAGAAGGGGATGGAAAATACACACAGAAATAGATTGCATAATGCTTTCTTAACCTTGAATTTTCTTAATGCTAATGAGAAAGGAACAATGGCAGCAGACATTGGATAATAGAAAAAACCTCTACATTAAATCAGTCAGTATATTTCAAAGATGTAGTGACCTCATAATGGAAACCAGGAGATGTGCTACGTTGGGGAAGGGGTTTCGTTCTTGTTTCCACAAAAGAAGAAAAGTTTTGGATGCCATCAAAATAAAGATTCGGTTTGAAAAGGAGAAACCTCTTGAGACAGAGAAATGACAGCTCATCTACAGAGGTGACAATCATACGGGTTGGAAGGAAACCTCATAAGGATTGGGGCAGGGTTCTGTTTTTTTCTTTGTAGGAAAATATCCATCTTCAAAAAAAAATCAAAAGACCTTCAACATCTAGATGCCTAAAGGAAAAACCAAAGTGTCACTAAGTAAAGAGAAATCTGACTAATAATAACATATCATCTGCAGGGTAAAATTTCATTACCTGAACATGTATATATCTCTACTTAAAAATTAAAGCTGGCTTTGGAGTTGGACAATGGCTATCCTTCTCTAAATCTAAGCATGCTGTTAAGAGAAAAATTCAGAGTTTCTGTCTCATATCAGGAGCCATATGGTATGGGACAGAAAGAAGAAAAGAATTTAGGAATGATTTTATTTTTCCCCATAAATATTTTTGTCTCTATCATACCTTTCATTGAATATATGTCTATGTGAATATGTTTAAGTTTTCCACAGTGAACAATAAATTTTCCTGCAGTAATCTTTGAAATTTCCAGGAAAAAGATGGGGGCCACAGAAGAACAATTCCACCTGGTTGATATGATGTCATGATGCTGATAACACTATTTTAAGAGCAGTTTTGGGTATGAGTTGTTCACAATGATTCCAACTTGGTTAGCTGAAATGGTGCACGTTCTTACAATGTTCTGGCCAAAACTTCTAATAAGAACTTCAGAAAAACCCTATCAACTACTCAGAGACTATTTGCAATTATACCAGACAGCAATCTTGAAAATTAACCATCATTTTAGTTTTATAGGATCCCATAGAAAGAACAGCAACCCCATGACAGCTGGAAGTAATTCTAGAAGACAACATCCCTTCTCCAAACAAAGTTTGTCCTCAGGCTTAGGGACATCAATTAGGGATTGATTATAATTGGTATAGGGTTGGGGTGGAAATTATGAGGCTCAGGGATCTCTTTGGGGGGAAAAATGGGAAATTAGATGGGAAAATAGGTAGATTAGTATGAGCTTACTCACACTAATAATAATAAGGAATAATAGAGTGAATATTTGTAAGCTATTATTTATGGACAATTTACATTGGTATAGATTCTTGTATATTGATACAAATTCAAATTATATTTGTTATATGAAAAATGCTATTTCTGTTTACAGTAGTTGTACACATGTGCAAAGTTATTTTGTTATATTGTATGCATACATATTTCTACATCTACTTAAGACATTTGGTATATTGATACAATTTTAGAATACATTTATCATACTGTACTATACATTTCTACCTCTGATCAAGATACTTATACATTGTTTACATTTTGAGGTCACTGCCCACGTTTGCTGCACAGTTGTTTAAAGACTGTTTAATATTCTAATATGTGATCTTACTCTTTAAGCTATATAGGTATTAAGAATTACAGGTCAATAGTATCCATGTTTGTCATAGTTAGACTAATCAGGCTCTTTATATACATAGAGATATATTCCACATTGATAGGTAATCTTCAACTACTTCAAAGAACTGTAGATTATTTAAATAACTTAGGGTTCTGTTGATGTGAGACACAATTGCTCCTGGCAGCACTGACCTATTCCCGAGAGAATGTTGGGCACTAAACTCCACTTGGAGTTTGTTTTCTTCTTGGCAAAACTGGCCTTTGGGCAAAGAACTGTCCATGCCTCAATCACTGACAAAATGCATGGTGTCCAGATTGGACAAGCAGTGCTGCAGGAGCTACTTTTGCTCCTTCAGCCAATAGCCTTTGAGATACCAGCCCACTGGGTTGTGGTATCTTTCGCTTTAAAAATAAGTGGCGGCAGCTCTCTCTCTCTCTCTTGCTTGCTTCGGATTCCGCTTCTGGCTATCAGACGCTTTTCCTGGTCCTGCAGGAGGCTGTTGTCTAGGACGGTGATCTGTAAGTTTTTTCTTTTAAATAAATAACCCTTTTATTAATCTTAATTCTGAGTTGGTGTGGGATTGTTTTGTTTTGTGACTTACTCCATTAAAGCAGGATACAAGAAAGAAGACTGCCAAACCTTGCCAAGACAGGGTAAGACAGTTTTGAAATTTTTTCTGCCTCTGACAATGGTCTGTCAGTTACTCTAGGCCTTAGCCAAAGTTGGAAGCTCCAACGTTGCAAATGAGACTCTGGATGATTGCCCAGGTAGTCAGTTGTCTTCTTATATTTATTGCACATTTTGGAAGTTGCCTGATTGCACTTTCTGTTTATTCAAGTAACATTTAATTATTTTCCTTCCCAGGTATTCGATGGAGTTGAAGACTAGATAGTCATAGTTACTTTACTCTCATGACTTAGCTAATTCATTTCTAATACAAGGCTTAGAGACCTTAGGATAGGATAATTATTAATATATTTAGCATATGTTTTTTGCTTGATATTGTTTATGATGGTTGTAATTCTAATTTTTATACTTAACAAATGATGCATGTTAATAAAAGCTCAGAGACTGAAATTGGGGTCCAAGATAAAGATCTGAAAAGGAAAGTAAACTAGCCACTGGCTCTTACCTCAACCTCAGTCAAAAATGGTGAACCTGCCTTCAGGAATCTCAGAATGAGACTGTGTGTGAGAGCTTTTTCCTCCTATTTTATAATCCTCTCTAGTCCTGGGATTAAAGGCATGCATCACCCAGTTTCTACAGCTACTAGTGTGGCTACTGACATTAAAGGTGTGTGTTACTATTACCTGGTCTGGTTTTTCTCTCAGATCTTCAGGCAAGCTTTATTTACTAAAATACAATTGAAATGCCACTATAGTCTATCACACACCACTTGCCACCACAGTCTCCTTAACTCATCCACAGCCTGGAAATGTCTTCTGGCAATCCCTGCACATCAGTCAAAGGCACATAAATAGAAGAAAGTATGTCTTCAACTTCAATCTATATTTCCCATTTATTTCCCTGTACTTCATGGCAACTACTTACCTCAATAATGTCAATGCAAAAGCCAAGCCAAGCCAAGATCCCTTTACCCAGTAAGCAGAAAAGATGGTCCACAGGACTAGTAGTTTTGATAGACACCTACCCGTGCTGTTCTGTCATCATACTCCTCATCAGACATCAAAAAGTTACAGAGTCCCCTGGTGGGTATGCTGGTGTTCTCCGTGATCCAGGTGTGCAGGTACACTTCTCCGAGGACCCGCTTCATATGTTCCCTTGTCAGGTGCATCTCCACAGCCTCAATCTTCCCTTGGATCTCAAGGAGCTTTTCCTCAATGGGTTCACGGCCTCCGGAGTCTCCCACGGCAGTAAGAGAGTCTTCGGGGGGCTCCTCTGTGTCACCCTCTTTGCTCCTCTCCTGCAAGCCAGCCTTGGTCCCCTGCTTGGAAGTGCCTTCTTCCTGCTGTTCATCCTCACCATCACCCATCCCAGGTGAGTCAACCAGTAAGATTTTTGAGTCCTCGTGGGTGGGTTTCCATAAGGCCTCTGAAGGGGATTTCTGCATTGACTGATACAAAATCCTTAGGAGGAAAAGCTTAAACCGCCAAAAATAGGTGACCCCACTGCTTTCAATCTTTTTTTCCAAAGCTTCATGTAAAAACTGAGGAATATGTTTATCTTTTAAAATTTTCCAGCGGACTAGGTCAATTAAGTCCACCTGCTTAAAGAGATTCTGAACTGAAGATTCCAAGAGCTGAGCAGCTGCCTCTTCAAAGGTCTTGAGAGTAACAAACTGGACCTGGTAGTTCTTGTTCACGGGATGGAGGCCATTAATCATGCCCTCAGTGGTGATGATGGCTAGATAAGCACCACAGGGGCTCACTGCAATGCCATGAGTCCTCACTGAGCCAAATACATCTGAGAGTTTAATCAGCTGGTGTTCAAACTTCAATGCAACATCTGTGAAAATAGGAATCAACTGTCTCACCTTCCCATCACTAGAACAGGTGTACACTGTTCCATTCTGCTTGTCTGCAGTCATGGAGACGATGGGCAGTGAGTGAAGGCCTGTGACATGGGAGTTGTGAACATTCAGACCTGCCTTCGAAATCAGAAGAAGACACCAGAACACATAGGAGCCTCTTGCTGCTACCACTAAGCTACAGCTACACTTCTGGTAAGGATGATAAAGTGGAACACATTTGATGCTATGTACAGGCAATTGGTCCATTTCTTTCCACAAGACAACAGGCTGCCTTAAAGTGAAGTAGCCTTTGACTGCTTTGAGATTGACGGGGAGAATTTTCACTGGTCCAAAAGCACTGCCTACAATAAGGCCACTCATTTTCCGATTATTGTGCTCATATTCCCACCAAAACAAAACACTAGGGGAGCTGATTCCTGACTCAATGGTGTTGCATGAAGAGATGGACTCCTTTCCCACGAATGGCAGCTGAAACTGCCACACAGCTATATTTCCGTTCTCAAAGAGGACAGCCAGGAGCACACTGCCCACATCCCGGCACTCATTATTGTGCTTGACTTGCTGAGTGGTACAGATTCCTGACCATTCCATCCTGACTGGGGTCTGCATGCTGTGTCTCCTTTGAAACTCAGCAAAATCCCCAAGATTTCCCCCTGGACCCTCATTTTTAGAGAGTCTATAACTGGTCTCATAAAGACGTTCTCCATAAATCTCAGTCAGATCAACCAGCTGAACCCACTGGAGTCTGTTAAGGTTCACCTGCACAGTCAGGCGATTGTCCATGGTCAATGCTGCCAAGAGGCACCTGCCATTTGCATCACAACCCATGGGAGACCAACTTGTGTATTTGAAGCCCCGCATTGGGGGCAACGCCTTCCCCTCGGGGTTGAACATCCTGTCCAACATGAAAGTCTGGCTGATGGTGGGGTCTTTAGAGGAAGCAAACTTCTCCTTGCACTCAGCAACTTCTGTTTTTGAACCAACCTGAAAATAAGACATACAGAAGCTATCAGGTAAATATTCACATGCAGTAACTGATTTCCATTAACATATAAAACAATTTTATATTGATTCTGGCAATTTTGGCATTAAAGATCAAACAGCCAGGTGTGGCAATGCATACTTGCTAATATAAACACACTGGAAGCCGAAGCAGGAAGATCACGAGTTCAGTCAGCCAAAGTTGAGGAAGAACAACTCTATCTTAAAACAAAACAAAAATAATGATTTGATTATGATTAAACATAATAATAGTTATGTTTAAAGATTAAATGTGCATTTACTAATGAATTGGGTTTTTTTACAAAAAAGATTCAATAAACGTGATTATTCATTGCTTGGTTTCCAGATTCTTCTTGGAATTGGCTTACGGAATAGACAGCTGATTTACAAGAGTGAATGGAACACTTAGCTGAGACAGTCAAAAAACAGCAGCAGTTTTAAAAGTCGGGGAAATATGTATGTATATTCATTTTTGCTACATAGATAGCTGGATTTTGTAATAGCTTTGTGACTTATGCTGAAGATCAAACCAAAGGCCTCACGCATGCAAAGTAAATGCTCTACCACTGAGCTCTCGTTTCTGCTGTGCTTGTGTTCTCCAGGTTAGCTGGCTGGGTCAGCTTCCCCATGATGCGTCCATCTCACTACAGGAATGTTGGGATTACAGATGCAAGCCATCACACATCACATTGGGCTTTTTCAAGTATGTTCCGGGGACTGTCTAAAGTCATCAGGCTTCTGCTTTTAGGCCACTAAACCTCCTCATTTACCAACTCTAAGCCTTTTAATCTGCAGTTTCTTTAACATACCACACACATTTTAAACATCAATTTCCCTGTCTACTCTTGCTACAAGTAAGATGGCTCCTATCAGACTTCTCTGTTCCACCCACCACTTTTCCTGGCTCCCTTACCTAACTTGCTCCTGCCCATCGATCCTACCAGGTTTAGTCCTATGAGGGCTCAGATCATTCTAGCTATGCTTCATCCACACCCCTCTCCCCAGCGTCTAGGTCTGTTAACACATGTCAAGTGCTCAGCCAAATGATGAAAGCTCTGAAGAAAATTTTAAAGGGATAGTAAATATAGAGGAAGTTGTAAATGACTAAAATTATAGCCAGGAAGGCTAAAGCAAAAAACCAACCAAACAAACAAAAACTCCAAAAAACAAAACATAGGTTGAGCTAAAGATACTTTCACTACACTGAAAGGAAGAACTCCATCTACTGTTTTCAGAAACACAAATAAAAGGCAAAGTGTACTGGTACACATCTGTAGCCACAACATTTGGGACACAGAGCCAGTAGTATCACCCCAGCAAGCTTCAGGCCAGAAAGGGATGCGGTCAGCCAAAGAAAACAAAGGAAAAAAGTAAAGTAAAAAACAAAACAAAACAAAACAAAACAAAAAAACAATAGCAACAACAAGAAAACTTTCCATTTTGATTTTAGTGCCAAAAACAAAGGAAAAAAGTAAACAAACAAACAAAATCTCTATTTTAATTTTAGTGCCAACTTTTTTTTAAGAAACTTGGAAATGGAAGGGTAGGACATGATTAAAAGGGAATTCAAGTCCTTTTAATATATGGATTTAATAAAAGTAACTTGATGTAAGTTACCAAGCACTGAGGCTAAACTCTAGAACACAGGCAGAAATAATCACTAAGAAGCAGTGCCTACATCCCAGCAAAGTTTAAGGCACTATTTTAAAAGATCTTTTAAATGTTAAGTAAATACAAGCTGTTAAGTCTAATTAATGACAAAATTCCTCAACATATCAGCAGTGAACAGTACTCGAGATAGCAACAGAGCTGAGGACATGGCTCAGTCAGTAGAGTTTGCCCCGCAAGCACAAAGAAACTGATATAAACCCAGAACTCATGCCAAAAGTTAGGTACAGCACTGTGAACTTGGTGAGGCAGAGGTAGCAGATTTCTAGAGCTCACGAGGCAACTTCCTAGAAAAGACGTCTACGGAGAGAGAAGTTTTGGAAATGCCCAATGTTACTCACTAGCCCTCCTAGAAGTAATGGGAGCATATAAAATGCCTTGGCTAGGGAGCCATTGTAAAAGCACTAGGCAAACCTAGTTTAAGCTAGGCAAACTTCTTTTTAAAAGTAGAATCTTCCAGGTTTTGAAACAGAACCGAAGCCAAAATATCTTAATTTTATGGCACTTAGAGATGGAGGACAACACTGATCTTGACCAGCAGGGTAATTTCTAACACACAATTAAATTCGAGTTTCTTTAGTTGATTGCATCTCCCTTCCCAACTCTTCCCATCACAAAATCAGTTAGAAAATTTAAACAAGCACTCAGATGTCTAAGGACCTAACCACTTGAAAGCTAAGTTTCCAGATGCTGCCAGAGCCCATCACTCAATCATGCACTCCTGAATTTCAAGCTGACCGCTACCCATATCAAAGTTGACACAAGAAGCCCCATTTGAAACTTTAAGTAGCAAGGAGCTATTTGAAGGCAGAGAATGTGTGATTTCCAAACACAGACAACAGTCATTTCGTGTAGCAAGCACAGCTAATAAGCAACTGATACACAGTAAGACTAGCTCAAAAAGAGCATTAGGATTTGGAACTGTATCAGTAATCTAATGGGAAAAAACTAATACTTATTCTTTTTAAGCTTTAATTTTTTACGTTCATGAGTGTTTGCCTGCATGTATGTATCTGTATTATATGTGCATGCCTGGTGCCCACAGGCCAACAGAGGGTGTAAAATCCTCTAGAACTGAAATTGCAGACAGTTGTAACCTGTCCAATGTGGGCTTGAAACTGAACCCAGTTCCTTAGCAAAAGCAGCAAAAAGCTCTTAACTGTTGAGCATCTTACCAGTCCTGTGACTTATTATTAAGTCACATTTTCTTGCTTTGAATTATTTTTATTATTCAATTTTCTATCATATAATTTCAACCTCCAAGATGGAAACTTACAAATAGCTGGTAATCAAAGTTTGAGCTGTGATTTAACAGAATTATAGAGCAACAGCTTCAAAAGCTGTTTAGTGTTTAGTTCATTAGCTGTGCTACATAATAAAAAAATCATACCCTAGGTCTCAATTTATCTGTTATTTGAGTAGAAGCAATAGCTAGTTGGACAACACTGAGTAGATTTAAATCTCTAGAGACCATCACTATGTAGGGCACAGAAGAACTGACAGACTTCTTTATATTCATATTGCAAGACTTCTTTATATACATATTGCAACAATGAAGACCTCTTCATGTAAACTCTATCAATCAGAGGGCTATATAAAGATTTTCTGCTATTTAAATAGTGTGGCAAGTGCCAAATGTAGCAATATGTCAGTCAAGTTATCAGAATGTTAGTATCACCTTCAAACACATGCTTACCAAACTAATGCAGACTTTCCTTTATGTCTATATATTCCTATCTTGGGCACTACCATATACTCAAGGCCAGACATTAAGTGACAATGTTCTATTATGGTGGTTTTTTTTCTGAGACAGGGTTTCTCTGTAGTTTTGGAGCCTGTCCCGGAACTAGCTCTTGTAGATCAGGCTGGCCTTGAACTCACAGAGATCCTCCAGCCTCTGCCTCTTGAGTGTGAGTGCTGGGATTAAAGAAGTGTGCCACCACCACCTGGCCTATTATGTTTTATGCATGGATTAAACCTAAGTCTCCATAAAGCCTAAACAAGGCAAACTTTACTATTTCTGTTTTATAGATAGGTCCATCTTGTGCCAAAGCCCAGTGTCTCTCTGTCTGTCTCTTTCTCTCTCTCTCTTTTTTTTTTTTTTTTTTTTGAGACCAGTTTTTCTGTGTAACAGTCTTGGCTGTCCTGTAACTCTGTAACTCACTCTGTAGACTAGGCTAGCCTTGACCTTACAGAGATCAGCCTGCCTCTGCCTCCTGAGTGCTGAGATTAAAGTGCCTTTAATCTGTATTGGAGCCCACAAGATCATACAGTAAATGTACAGCTGACAGATTCATAAAAGCAGATCCACATGTGTACAACTTACAGGGGAACCTGTCTCTAGAGTTGCAGGAACACTTTCTTTTGGAAAAGAGGCTGTCATATCTTGAGTGGAAATCTTGTGAAGCCAATGATTCTTGTCAAGACAGGGTTTCTCTGTGAAACAGTCCTGGCTGTCCTAGAACTCGCTCTGTAGACCAGGCTGGCCTCCAACTCACAGAGATCCACCTGCCTCTGCCTCCCAAGTGCTGGGATTAAGAAGATTTTACACATGGCTCATTCAGTCAAATTGATTACCTAAGTCAATCTGTTAAGACCCTAATCCCAGGTAGGCTCATCAAGACCAAAATGCTATTTAAAAAAAGAAAAAGAAATATTATCCAATTCATCATTGTGTTTGAAATTTGAATTAAGTACGCTGAAAAGCACTCATGAGGGCTACTCAAACTGTACCTATGACTAATAGCTCAGATTTGGAAGAGTGTCTAGAAGATTGTCTAGAAGAGTGTGGAAAAACTTTGCTTTCAAATAAACATACTGCCATGTGGGTATACAGCTTTATAGCACTCCTTGCTTTTTGACTAGATTGTCTGTTCATAACCTGCCAAAGGATGTAAGTTCCATAAGGACTGTTCTCTACCCTGGTTTATCCCAGAACCTCGGTAGGCACTCACTCACTCTGACAGACTACATACTACATATACATACAGAGCTATACAGGAAATCAAAGTAAGCTTTTATCTAGGCTACAAAAAGGAACGGTATCACTCACTACTTTAAAATACACCATGACTGAAAAACGGTGACATCAACACAAACTTTAGAAACTCGAAAGTTCAGGGACAAACTTGGGTTATATGATGTTGAAGGCACTAAATTTACAGAGACCTTGGACTTGGAAGTCTAAGCACGGGATGTTCCCTGAGGTTTTATTTTTCGTTCCATTTTCAAAGATCGAGATACAGACCCCTATTTACCCGTCTACCCAGGGAGACCCAAGGACCATTCACAATTAAATCGCCAAACAGGTAAGACCCACGAAAAAGACCAGTTTTTCTTCTCGAAGCAAAAGTGGCGCGAGAGAAGGGCGCACGCAACACAGTATAAAAAACAAAGCCAGCCTAGGGCCTCGGGGAGTTGGCCCCAGACAATAGGAGCGACGGTAGAGGCAGGTCCGGAGCTGGGGAAGCGGGGGTGGAGTCTCAGGCAGCACCCGGGCAATCGCGAACTGCGCTAGCTGCAGGAAAGGAGGGACGGATGACAGAACTGGGGGTTGGGGGGTCCACTGTGTATTGATGTATGTGTGGGGGTGTCTGGTAACAGCGCAGCAGCTAGCAAGGCTTTTCAGAAGCTGGGGCGATGTTGGTCCCTTGGTTGCAAAGAGTCGGATGCGCCGGGAATCCCGGGGCCAGGTGCAGGCCAGACTCCCCTCGGGATCGGTGACGCGTCCGCGGGAGCCCCGCAGGCGCCGGGGCCGAGCTCGAGCCGGGGCGGGTAAACTTACTTTGAGGAGGCAGCTGTTGAGGGGTGCGGGCACCGAGGTGCGGTGGATCACCAGGTCCTGGCCCGGGTTGTGCACGTCGCAGATAAGCTCCAGCACGGCGATGCTGCGGGCCGTGGACACCGACACGCGGTGGTCCTCCGACCAGGCCAGTGGCTCCAAGCCGCTCACCGCGTACTGCAGCTTCACGGCCGGCTCCCGCCGAGTCACCATGAGGCGGAACGCGGTGCTGGGCCCGGGGGCCGCTTCGGTCGTCGGCTCCTTCCCGCCCCCTTCGCCCTCCTCCTCGGGGGACGGCGAGGGCTCTTCAGCCGTGGGCCCCACACGGGCCTGGTCCGCCTCGCTCATCTTGCTCGGGGCGCAGAGGTCGGGTTCCCGGGCGCACAGAGCCCTCGCCACCGTCCCCCCCCCGCCCCGGCCGCCCCCTGCACCACGGCGCCGCCCCCAGCACCCTCCGCGACCGTTTACTCCCCTCAGGCCCCGAGCGCCACCGAGCCAGAAAGGACCCCGCCGTTGCTAGGCAACGTCACCCCTGCTAGGTGGCCGCAGAGCTGCCTGTCTGGAAAGTGCGCTCCGGGAGGGTTGACCCGCGTCGCGCCTGCGGCTGAGAGAAAAGGTGGGAAGTCCCTTTGCTAGACACTGGGTGCTAGGCTCAACTAAGAACCCGAGAAAGAGTGAGTCTCATGTGGGTGACTGAGATGCTAAGAAGACCAGCGTGGCGGCTGAGGGAGACCCCGCCAGGTGGGCGGCGCGCGGCCTCTTCCGGTTTCTGAGGCGTTCGGGGCTTCTTGACTCCGACCGGTGTGCGTGCTGCTGCGGCTCCTGGACCCGGAAGGGGCGGCGGCGGCGGCCGGGCAATAGCTGAGAAGTAGCTCACTATCCACGTGCTGCTCGGACTTCTGTTTCGGTCCGCAGCTCCGCACCCGGGCCATGGCTACCGTCTGTAGCCCGCTCCCAGACCGGCCTCTCAGGACGTACTTCGGACGCCCCCAGGGCCAGACGAGGCGGGTAAGTTCAACCGTAGCCAGTGAGCTGTGGCGCTGATCAGATCGGGTTGAGTTCCTTTTTTTTCTTTTTTTTCAGGGGGATTCGAGACAGGGTTTCTCTGTGTTAAAGTCCTGGAACTAGCTCTTGTAGACCAGGCTGGCCTCGAACTCACAGAGATCCGCCTGCCTCTGCCTCTCGAGTGCTGGGCTTTAAGGCGTGCAGCACCACGGCCCGGCGCAGGTCGAGTTCTTAAGAGTGTCTAGAGGGACTGGCGGGAGGTGCTCGGAAAGAGCAGGGAACTCTGCCTTGGGGGCGAGAGCCGGGAGGGCTCCTGAAACTAGCTGGAGAATTAGTTCGATGGATTTAGGATTGGAGGCTGTAGGAACTGGTTAAGTTCCTGAGACTGACTGGTGGTCTAGTCTTTTAGGGTAAGGATTGGAGGCTGAGATGTACCCAAGCTGGAAAACAGTGCCTAAGACATGACCACCGTGCATATCTTAACTCCCGAGCCGTTCCTTCCACTGTAGGCAAGGCAGAGCTCTGTTCGGAATGCGGATTGGACTCATTTCTTTGAAAAGCTTTTAAAGCGGAGGTTTTCATCCAAGTAGCAGGGAAAGAATATACAGTCATCATAATCTGTTGCCTAGAAAGGAGAACGGTGATTTAAACCAACCCTGCAGGAGCAGAAAACTGGTTTTAGGGTTGCTGGTTTGTCGTCTAGAAAGTCTGTTACATAGTCTGTTGGAAAATCATACGTGATCAAAGATCAGGAACGATGTGATTGGAAGTTTCACTCCCCCTCCTCCCCAGACACCTTAAAGATACTTTGTAACTCCATGGAAATTGAAGAGCAAATTGGCGGTCAGTTCAGATCCACCAGTGTTTTGAAGATAAACTTTTTGCTTATCTAACACTCACTGCAGAGTTTCACTTTTGTTAGGAAGAGGGAGGGACCTTCCTGAGCCTAGCTAGATACTTAGGAGTAGGGAGTCTTTGGCAAGTCATTGGTGTAGCTGAGTCTGTGTTTGAGGAGAAATACACAGACAAGCCAAGAGGGCAAGGGAGGGGGCAGGATTTACAGTAAGATGGCCTGAACTGTCAGACACCAACCAGCTTTGTAACACACCAGCCTATGACCTTGGGGAAGTTCCAAGTTTCTCCTTCCATAAATAGGAAGGAGAACCTTTCTTAGAAGGTTGTTATGAAAGCTCCAGTGGGATAATAGTTGCAATAGCTCTGCTTATTGTCTGGCCCTTAGAGGCAGTTGCTGAGTGCCAGTAATGAAAATAAAGGCAATATTGTTGCCATTTGGGGAAGTAGATGGCTGTATCAGGTCAGCAACATTGGATCAGGGTAGTGCTGTGCCATTTGAAGGGCCCGGTAGGAGGCGGTACCTTGCTCTCCTGGTGTCATGCAAGACTTTTGAGTTCCATCTATACAAAAAGAAAAGAAAGAAAATTCCAAAATTTTATTGAGTGAACAGACTAAGCAGATTATCTGGTTTTCAGTGACTTCAACTGGTGTTTCAAAGTGACTGGTCAAGAGGTAACACAGGCTGGGTGTGGTGTACATGCCTTTAATCTCTTTACTCAGTAGGCCAAGGCCTTTGGATCTCTGAGTTCAAGACCATTCTAGTCTACATATGAGTTCCAGGCCAGGCCAGCTAGGACTACATAGTGAGAGACCCCCTCTCTCTCTCTCAAAAAAAAAAAAAAAAAAGAGAGAGAAAGAAAGAAAGAAAGGAAAAGGAATCGGCCCCCCCCCAAAAAAAAGAAGAGAAAGAAGAAAAGGTAATACAGGTCAGTGAGTCCGCTTGGTGGTAAAGGTGCTGCTGCCCAGCCTGAGGACCTGAGTTTACTCTCCAGGACCTGGTAGAGGTAGGAGGAGAGAAACAACTTCTCATAGTTGTCTTGTGGCCTTCCTGTGCTGGCCATGACATATATGTTTATACACACACAACAATACAAGGGAATGCTGCAGGCATCCATAGACGCCTGACTGTGTCTGTGCTTCGGCCTGTGTATCCAAATGGGAGTGAAGATGTGCTGAGCAGATTTGCTCATACTGGGAACTCAGGGTGGGTAACAAAAAGTACTCTGGATTTGGAAGGTCCTTCAGACAGCTTAAATTGGGTTGCTCTGTCTTCATACTGAACAAAATACTTTTTTTTTCCTTAAGGATATTCTGCTTATTAAAGTAATACAGTTTAATTTAAGAAAAGTTAGAAGATACAACCCCACCTAGAGTTGCCATACCCAGAAATAACTTTTAACATTTTAGTGTATAGCCTTCAAAAAACTATAGCTATAATATTTTTGACCAAATAGGATACAGTTAATCAGGCCTCTCAGATTTATTTTCATGGAAGAGCATGATACATTCTGGGAATTTAGGAAAGACTGGCCAAAGGTAAAGGTGAATCTAAAGCTGAGGAGATGGGAAGAGGTTGTACTCTGGAAGCTTCCTAGATCTCTTTCTGCAGATTTTTCAGTGTTAGCCTCACAGCAGTGGAGAGCCTGCTCCAGTTCACTCCAAGCACTTATTTTGTTTGTTTATGACAGCGTCTTAACTCTGTAGCCTGGTGGCCTGGAACTCACTTTGTAGCCCAGCAGCAGTCCTCCTGCCTTAGTCTCATGAGTGCTGGGCTTACATGTGTAAGCCACCATGCTGGCTTCTGATACTTGCTTGTAGAGAGACCTTGATTTTCCTTCTGTAAAGGGTGAGTAGGATGCTGTGGTGGTAAACACCTGGTATGTTTAGTTCAAAGAAGGGGAAAGGAAAGGTGTGTAAAGGAGACGGGAAGCTTGCCCTTTTGGCTGCAGCAGCATTCTTCAGACTGGGCCATGGATGCTCCAGGAGGCAGGTCTTGTCTTGATTGGCGTAAAAGTTTCCTGAACCTGAGATTGATCTGTAGCAGAATAAGTTGAATCCTGAGGTAGAGAAGGGTTATGGTCAGAGGCCACTAGGCCAGCTCAGGAAACCTGTGGTAGGGTGACCTTCAGGCCTTTGAAACTGTCAGGTGAGGTGTGCGAATCCCATACTCTGACAAATGGCTTCATTTTTCTTTAACCTGAAAATTCATAAACTTGGGAACTTTGCCAAAACAAATTTTAAGATTAAGTAGGCTAGTGTTCACTTTATTACTATTAGTACTTGAAATTGTATTTATTAAATTTCTTAAAGGAATTTTTAAGTTGCCAGGAAAAGAGACTTGTCCTTTTTCATTGGTAGATTAGTTTGAAACTGACAGTCTTGATGAAACAAGACAGTGTATAAGCACAAATCACTGTTTCAAGTGAAGAGGAAAATATATTCTAAAACTCAGAATTAGAAGTACCAGCTATTATATATATATACTTGTGCAGACTGGAAGAAAAGGCCAAAGAAAATAGAAGAATCTGATGTTTCTTGTAGGGCAGTGGTTCTCAACCTTCCTAGTGCTGCGACCTTTTAATGCAGGTTCTCATGTTATGGTGACCCCCTAACCATAAAATTATTTTCATTGCTACTTCATAACTGTAATTTTGCTACTGTTATGAATCATAATGCAGATATCAAATATGCAGGATATCTGATATGTGACCCCTGTGAAAGGGTTAGTCGACCCTGGGGTTGAGAACCACTGGTCTAGGGAAAGTTTGGGCACCATGCATTAATTACATCCGTGTTGTGAAAATAAGCAACAGGCAAGAAGTGCCTAATGATGTATGTCTATGATCAGCATTCAGGCAGGGACTCCGAAGGCGAGGAGGGTTGGGAACAATATGATGGAAGTGATGGATGGAGCGGCACTCTGATTTGGAGTGGGGACGGCAAGTAGGAGCTGACTCCAGACCATCTGAATTGGAGCAGCTTGAGGGGAGAGGATGACAGATCCAAGCCCTAGGGAAGAACAGTAATGACAATTTCAGCTTCCTGGGCACGAGCATTCAACATCCCATTCACCTCTCCGGTCTCTTCTTAACATCCTTTATTGGTAGAAAAAAAATCTTATTTTGTTTCCCTGTGTGTCTCTATTCTCACACAAAAAAACAGACTCCTAGGGGTGTGGTTTGACTTAGTAAGCCTGCCTACTTCACAAGGTAGGTTCTTGCTTCCCTTAGAACAGACTGAATTGGTTAATGTCAGCTGGCAGGACACCTCTCTCCCGATTCCCATTCTCATCTTGGATGACTTAACAGTTGAGGTAGATGGAGGTCTTGCAGATGAATGGACTGAGATTGTATGTCTCTCCCCTCCTCCACCCCCACCCCCCATTTCAGATGAAGCCAAAGAATCTGGTTGTAAACCCTAAACTGATGGTTGGCATATGGGGCATAATGATCTCTGCAGGAAGAGATACATTCTGTGGGCAGTCAGGCTTCACTCTGAAGATTGTCTTCATGGACTAATGCACCTCTTCTTGATCTTTCCTTTTGGAAACAACGCAGCAAGCAGAGCCTACCAAAAGAAAGCACCAAGTGTCCAGTGATGCTCCACCAACAAAACGGAGGAACG